GCTAGTATATATATATATATATATATATATATATATATATATACCGAGCGAACTCCGTTTCACTACCAGATGGTTTCATTTTATGTAACATTTCGTTTGGTAATTAAAAAAAATTACCCGCTGTTGAAATTGAATAAAAATTTGCACAATACACGTGATTGATTTGATGGTTGAAATGTTAGGAAACGAATAACTTATTTTTTTTTACTTTTTTGCACAATTTTACTGTGAACACAACTCCGATTTCTCACATGAAATTAATTGAGCAGGAAACAATGAGTAGCTATTAAACAAATGTGTAGCACTCAACCAAATATATTAGTTTATAGTACATGCTAAATATCAGAGATGACGCTGTATGTGAAAAAAGAAAAAGTGTTTTCCGCTTTTCTGTTGAAATCATTCTTCAATTTTCTTTGCTATAAACCTCACGGAGTCCGACACCGTTCCAACGAATGCAAAATCGTCGAAATCGGTTCGTGCGTTTTGGAGTTGTATCGTCAGGAAGGAAAACCCGACTTATTTTTATATATATAAAAGATAATCTATTTGAAATTATTTAAAACAATTGTTGATTATTTTTATTACTCGAATTTTTAATCACGGTGCATGAAGTTCCAGCAATTTGCATTAGGGCACGATGCCATGCACCACTAATTTTCTTTGCTATAAACCTTGCGGAGCCCGAGACCTTTCAAACGAATGCAAAATTGTCGAAATCGGTTTGTGCGTTCTGGAGTTATTTCGTCAGGAAGGAAAACCCGACTTATATTTATATATATAGAAGAAGAAGATAATCTATTTGAAATTATTTAAAACAGTTATTGATTATTTTTATTACTCGAAGTTTTAATTACAGTGCGTGAAGTTCCAGCAATTTGCATTAGGGCACGATGCCATGCACCACTAATTTTCTTAGCTATAAACTTTGCGGAGCCCGAGACCTTTCAAACGAATGCAAAATTGTCGAAATCGGTTTGTGCGTTCTGGAGTTATTACGTCAGGAAGGAAAACCCGACTTATTTTTATATATAAAAAGATAATCTATTTGAAATTATTTAAAACAATTGTTGATTATTTTTATTACTCGAATTTTTAATCACGGTGCATGAAGTTCCAGCAATTTGCATTAGGGCACGATGCCATGCACCACTAATTTTCTTTGCTATAAACCTTGCGGAGCCCGAGACCTTTCAAACGAATGCAAAATTGTCGAAATCGGTTTGTGCTTTCTGGAGTTATTTCGTCAGGAAGGAAAACCCGACTTATATTTATATATATAGAAGAAGAAGATAATCTATTTGAAATTATTTAAAACAGTTATTGATTATATTTATTACTCGAATTTTTAATTACGGTGCGTGTACTTCCAGCAATTTGCATTAGGGCACGATGCCATGCACCACTAATTTTCTTAGCTATAAACCTTGCGGAGCCCGAGACCTTTCCAACGAATGCAAAATTGTTTCGCCACCAGATGGTTTCGTGAGAAAGATGAAGAAATTTTTTGTTTGTTTTATATTTGAAAAGGAAAAATGTGATTTTATTATACAACAGTAATGAATTTATTTCGATTACAAAAATGAAGTGTTTTTAGTTGAACTTCTCTGAGCAAATGAAAGGCAATCCGCAAATTATCCGTTTCATTGAGTGCTCTTTGGTAAACCACATTTTTTGTTTTTTGGTCTGACGTTAACACAAACAAAGCGGATGGTTTTCCAACTCGTGAACAGGCAACGTATAACTGCCTATGTGAAAACAATGATTTTCAAAATAATCTATTTGAAATTTATCCCGCAAACACTATGCGATTGGCCTTGCGACTTGTTATTGCGAACGCAAGGCGAACTGGAAATTGCAATCGTTTGAAGTCAAATGGAAGACCAGTCGGAATGATTGGTATGTCACCAAATCGCCAGCAATTTTTGATTTAATGGTGAAATTCAGTGCGTGTACATCATTATTCTTTGCGGCAAGAATTGCTTGTTGACTTAACCAAGCATAATTCTGATAATTCTCACTAATGTCTTTACTCGAATTTTTAATTACGGTGCATGAAGTTCCAACAATTTGCATTAGGGCATGATGCCATGCACCACTAACTTTCTTAGCTATAAACCATGCGGAGCCCGAGACCTTTCCAACGAATGCAAAATTGTCGAAATCGGTTTGTGCGTTCTGGAGTTATTACGTCAGGAAGGAAAACCCGACTTATTTTTTTATATATATAAAAGATAATCTATTTGAAATTATTTAAAACAATTGTTGATTATTTTTATTACTCGAATTTTTAATCACGGTGCATGAAGTTCCAGCAATTTGCATTAGGGCACGATGCCATGCACCACTAATTTTCTTTGCTATAAACCTTGCGGAGCCCGAGACCTTTCAAACGAATGCAAAATTGTCGAAATCGGTTTGTGCGTTCTGGAGTTATTTCGTCAGGAAGGAAAACCGGCTTATATTTATATATATAGAAGAAGAAGATAATCTATTTGAAATTATTTAAAACAGTTATTGATTATTTTTATTACTCGAAGTTTTAATTACGGTGCGTGAAGTTCCAGCAATTTGCATTAGGGCACGATGCCATGCACCACTAATTTTCTTAGCTATAAACTTTGCGGAGCCCGAGACCTTTCAAACGAATGCAAAATTGTCGAAATCGGTTTGTGCGTTCTGGAGTTATTTCATCAGGAATGAAAACCCGACTTATTTTTATATATATAAAAGATAATCTATTTGAAATTATTTAAAACAATTGTTGATTATTTTTATTACTCGAATTTTTAATCACGGTGCATGAAGTTCCAGCAATTTGCATTAGGGCACGATGCCATGCACCACTAACTTCTTAGCTATAAACCTTGCGGAGCCCGAGACCTTTCCAACGAATGCAAAACTGTCGAAATTGGTTCGTGCGTTCTGGAGTTATATCATCAGGAATGAAAACCCGACTTATTTTTATATATATAGAAGAAGAAGATAATCTATTTGAAATTATTTAAAACAGTTATTGATTATATTTATTACTCGAATTTTTAATTACGGTGCGTGTACTTCCAGCAATTTGCATTAGGGCACGATGCCATGCACCACTAATTTTCTTAGCTATAAACCTTGCGGAGCCCGAGACCTTTCCAACGAATGCAAAATTGTTTCGCCACCAGATGGTTTCGTGAGAAAGATGAAGAAATTTTTTGTTTGTTTTATATTTGAAAAGGAAAAATGTGATTTTATTATACAACAGTAATGAATTTATTTCGATTACAAAAATGAAGTGTTTTTAGTTGAACTTCTCTGAGCAAATGAAAGGCAATCCGCAAATTATCCGTTTCATTGAGTGCTCTTTGGTAAACCACATTTTTTGTTTTTTGGTCTGACGTTAACACAAACAAAGCGGATGGTTTTCCAACTCGTGAACAGGCACGTATAACTGCCTATGTGAAAACAATGATTTTCAAAATAATCTATTTGAAATTTATCCCGCAAACACTAAGCGATTGGCCTTGCGACTTGTTATTGCGAACGCAAGGCGAACTGGAAATTGCAATCGTTTGAAGTCAAATGGAAGACCAGTCGGAATGATTGGTATGTCACCAAATCGCCAGCAATTTTTGATTTAATGGTGAAATTCAGTGCGTGTACATCATTATTCTTTGCGGCAAGAATTGCTTGTTGACTTAACCAAGCATAATTCTGATAATTCTCACTAATGTCTTTACTCGAATTTTTAATTACGGTGCATGAAGTTCCAACAATTTGCATTAGGGCATGATGCCATGCACCACTAACTTTCTTAGCTATAAACCCTGCGGAGCCCGAGACCTTTCCAACGAATGCAAAATTCTCGAAATCGGTTCGTGCGTTCTGGAGTTATTTCGTCAGGAAGGAAAACCCGACTTATTTTTATATATATAGAAGACTAGCAAACCGGCGAACTCCGTTTTACCACCAGATGGTCTCACTTTATGTAACATTTTGTTTGGTGATTAAAAGATGAAGAAAAAAATTGCCTGCTGTTGTTGAAATTGAATAAAAATTTGCACAATAAACGTGACTGATTTGATGGTTTCCAATTGAAATGTTAGGAAACGAATAACTTATTTTTTACATTTTTTGCACAACTTCACAGTGAACAACTGAGCAGAGAACAATGAGTAGCAGTCAATAAAAAAATATAAGTTTGTAGTACATACAAAGTATCAGAGAAGACGCTATGTGAAAAAAGAAAAAGTGTTCTCCGCTTTTCTGTTGAAATATTTCTTAGATTTTCGGTGGGTGGTGAGAGAGTGCAAATTGTTTTCACTTCTGAACTTAAGATAAAGATTGATATTGTACCTTTACCGCGAATGCTATATATTAATTCTTTCTGAATTTGTTATACCCCTTAAAAGACTTCAATTTCCAACACTTTTTCTATGACCATAAATCACAAAGGCAAAATATGATTTTTTGTGTGATAAATCTGGAAAATCGATGTTTTAGTCGTGAATAAACAAAAAATTCATTCATTTATACATCCCCATTTACAGGTATGACTAAAAAATTGTATAACCCTTGCCATTAAAATAAATTGAGCTATTGGAAATAAATTTGTTCTATAAATTGCAATGTATAATTTTTAATATACATTTTTATTCAACATATTGTAATTTTGTGACTGGGATATTTAAGTGTTAACTGTGGAAATTGAGAATCATCATTTTATTTGAAGCAGTTTTACATTTAACATCACTCATATATTGGTGTAAATAGTAATTCGAAAAACAATTACTATTATTTTTAACTGAACGGTAAATATTAGTATAGGATATTAAAAAAACGTAGATGTGGGTACAGGACAACGTCTGTCGGGTCATATAGTATATATATATATCATATATATATATATATATATATATATAATATATATATATATATATATATATATATATCGTCGTCTCACATTGATCATTATAAATATAAATATTTTTTTGAATAAATATTTAAACTTTCAGGTGCTCCTTCTTATCTGGCTGCGCTGCTGGATCAATGGCGGCATTAGTTGTCAATCCATTTGACGTAGTTAAAACAAGATTGCAATTACTGACCAGGGCAGAAGGTGAAATGGCCTACAGCGGTGTACTAGACTGCATAACGTAAGTATTATATGAATATTAAAATAACTTAGCACATAATATAGGCTTGCAACGAATAGTATATTCCCAAAATGCCGAATACCGAATGTTCGGCACACTCCAGAGACCGAATACCGAATATTCGGCAACTATTCGGCAGGTTTTTGGCGCCGCTTAAGCTCATTTATAATAATATCAATAATTGTTATATTACTAACGCACTATATGTTTACTCAAGTTCTATGTCTAGACTTGCAACCACTATTCGGTTACTCTTTGTTATTTAGAAAATTTGGTACCATTTACACTATTTGGCCAAATACCGAATACATACTTGAATACTTAACATATGATAACGAAATGTGCAACATGGTAAAAGAAATAAATGGTAAAATCATTAACTAGTGGTGTATGGCATCGTAGCTTAAGGCAAATTGCTGGAACTTCCCGTATCATAACGAATATTCGAGGAATGTTAAATGTTTTCAAATAAAAAAAAAAAAACAAAAAATCCAAAAGCAATTGTTTTGTCAACACAAGCAGAAAGTTTTTTGAATCATTCAATTTAGATGCTTATTTCTCTCAAAAACTGACATTTTTTATGTATAGCTTTGTATCTTCGAAATGGCTGGGCCTGCCTTTTCCAAAAACTAATGGCCATTTCTCCCATTTACTAATTGAATGTTTTTAAGATCATTCAAATTGATGCTCCGTTCTCTCACAAACTCGATATCTGTTTTCTGACTTTGCCTTTTAACTCTGTAACGACGACCCGATCTGCCTTTGCCAAAAACTAACCAGCACATTTCCCTATCAATAGGAATCGAATGTTTTTTGAATCATTCAAATCGGTTGATCCGTGCGCCCGATAAAGTGGAAGAAAAATTGTATCCATACATACATACACACACATCCATTTTTTTCTGAGGTATGCCAAAATGTTCAGAAACCTTCAAAACGTCGCGAAATGCATTTTCAATTTCGATTTTTTGACGATTACAATAACTTTCCTACGCGAAGTTAAAAATGATCAGAAATATTGTTTGTATATTTTGCGATAATCAGCACATTTCCCTATCAATAGGAATCGAATGTTTTTTGAACCATTCAAATCGGTTGATCCGTGCGCCCGAAAATGTGGACGAAAAA